AAGGTGCATCGGTGCATCGGAAAACCATGAAGACTTATCATACTGGATGCACAATCGATATTTCTCTAGCTTTCCGTACATTGACGAGCTCACCAGTTGACTAGGTGTGTCACCCAGTCTGGATGTCTTACGTGGGGCCAGCACCTCTGGAATACACGATGGGAAGAAAAACGTATACCCGTTGTTAATGCATCTACAATTCACTCACATCTGTGATGCAACTTCGTTAGCCTCGCGATGTAGTTACGCATCTCGCTGAGCTTGAGATCGAGCTCGCTCGCTGATTTTCCTACCCTCCAGATGCTTACTATCGACATGGCCCTCGGTCCCGTTCCTAATGTAAACACTCCAAGGACTACGGAACCAACGAGAAACGGGGGGAAATATGCCCAAATACGAAAAAGTGTATTGCAAGTAATTGGGGATAAGTACTCTTAATCTGGTTGATAACAAAGTTGGGTTTCCTCTGGGGGAGCTTGTAGGAGAGCGGTTGCGCGTGATAGACCAGGACGAAGCTTTTTCTTGGCAACAGTTCCGGGTGAAAAGAAATGAGAGATGACTAAAATGAATCAGTAGAGATCGAATGTGAGGGGGGCTTCGACGTATAGTGCTACACAACTGGAAGCTAGGATGTGTCAGGATGCAGAGAACTTAGTCTCTACCACTCATTCGAATGAGCACAAATACATGAACCAACGGTAAAGTGAACAGATATGTACAAGATATGGACTGACAGTTGTATATACATAGTGATATTTTATAGGCGAACAGCACCGAGAGACCTTATCCATACTATTTATTACCAATCCTCGTCTGAGACAGTTTTCGATGCGGGATTAGAGGCTCAGAAATCTCAAATACCTCTATACCTCGCTATCATACGAGTTGTTTGTGATGCATGCATCCTTCCTATTTTTGAACTCTTACCTTCCAAGTAGCCATATCCAGCTCGAATACCGTTTGTCGACTTTCCGGATGTTGATGCGTTCGCATCTGAGGCTGATCGGGATCGTCATCTGGTACTATTGTATATGGCCAGAGTTCACAGCCTGTTGATTCGTATATGTAGAGACAAACTCACCATAAACCATTGGTTCTCTGTCTTCTCCGAGGTCCAACCCAGCTTTCCCTTCTCTGATAAGGAACGACAAATAGAATAAATTTTCAACGGATTGGGCGAAGCTGGCAGGATTGATAATGAGTTGGAATAAATTGGCAGGGCCGATGTCTTGCAAAATGGCATGTATCTAGTCGAACAGTGAGCGACCGGGACCACACCTGCGCAGTGCAAGAACGCGCACTGTGAGCACATTCCTCATCGTCTCATTCGTAGATCTTTGCAGCTCCTCTGCAGTAATTTCTTGAGGTCTTCGTTCATCAGCTTTGTTTATCTTCGATCTTGTGCTTTGCTTCCGTTTCCGTTTCCGGGAATCTTCCAACAAAAAGGGACCTAACCTGTAGCATGGACAGAAGTATGAGTGCGAATTGAGCGATTTATAAACAAAAAAGTTACATAAAACCAGCCACCGTAACACGTTTACTCTTTCTCATAGCTAATTTTCCGATACGCTCCCACTGCAATGGCTCGACCAATTGCGGATCATCTTCCTCGTCAGATATTTCTTCAACAGACTCAGGTTCAAGCTTACGACCACCCATGAATCTCACCAAGTTCAATACATATTCATCCAAATTGAACAGGCCCGAGTCAAATTGAAGCTCACGCGTCAATCGACCTGATTTTGAAGAAAGATCGACTATGACATCGGCATCCAGTAACGCTTCGGGTGTATCTCTGACTGCAGAGACGACCGCATATTAGCACAGATACGATATGATTTCCCGGAAACTAACCTCGTTCGGAAAGAATATCTGCTGCTCGAAGGATATCACCTAGCTCATGAGCTCGGTGTTTCTGTTTGCATTTCTGGTCAAAATCTGTAAAACTATAAGTGATCGATCATTGATATTTACTGAGTCACTGGCCTTGTAGTTGCAATTGAAGAGCATAGTACTTTCTTCGCAATTCCCGCTTGGCTTCGGGATCTTGATCGGGATTGTAAATTAGAGCTAGTTCAGTTGAGGGTAATGAGTTGATATATCGAGCTACCGTGTATCGACTCACAGTTTGCATCGGAACCCGAAATTTCTTCGTCAGACGTCATTCTGAGTTCGTTTAGATTTGGATTTGAGAGTTGTTCAAGTGTGTGGATTTGCAGCGCAAGTGAAGTTGTGCGATAGGTTCAATTTCGGTGTGGAAACAGAGTAGATTTCCGGGAGCAGGACGAGATAATACAAGAAAAATGAAAGTACGTGTGAGTTAGATGTCGAAATCGTCGTCGTCAAAATCTTTTCTTCGCTGGAACTGTGATCGTAAGAGGTAAGCGGGCTGTGGGTGACACGAAGTCAAAAGATCCAACAAACCACAATCTTAGACTGCTTCGTTGTTGTCTTTCCTTCGACACTTTCCATCTGATCATACATACTATGAGCCACGAATTGCACATAACGCGCTGAGAGAAGGACGAACCTGGTCCAGCAGCTCAATCAACTGATTCTCCGATACTCGGCCTTTCAACTGACCCGACTGCGCCATTCTTAACAAAATCGTCTCAATTTGCCTGGACCTTTCAGGACTGACGAGCGATATACGCGATACTTTGGTACAGATATTGAGAAAATGTACATTTTAATCAGATCTAGTAGAGACATACAACGTTCTCGAGCACCACTGTCCAAGACGGTTGCCATCATGTCACGTCGCATCTGCTCCTCGTGTGTTCTCTTCGCTGCTTCCTCTTCTGCATTCTGTCCGCCTTGCGCACCATCGGGTAATTGACTGAGATCCATCGAATTTCAACCTGAGTTGGGTGATTCACACAGAGGAGTTCTGTGCCGGTAGCCGGACCGGGACCGAGGATCCAGTTCTCTACGCCTACTAATAAAGTAGTATTCAACGTCAAATTCTGGAGCAGTTTCTTTTGTTATGCAAGGACGGCTGTAGGTCACGGTGAAGGTGTTGAGCTTCCCCGGGAAATGTTGATATGCATAGTACAGACTTGTGGTACGCAGCTTATGTGGGCCCTCGGAGTGTTTGATTAGCTTTGTTGAGTTATGAGATCGCTTCTATTATGTTTCTTTGACAAAAAACAATTACTGCCATACAGGTCAAGGGCATTCAGGTGAACTTTGTGCTCGAAAGAACAAAAGAAAACCGGGACAACGTAACCGTTATTCCAAAAAAGGCAGGTGTCAAAGCCATTGTTCTCAACAAACGGTCAACTTCATTGTCTTGCTTCGAGTATAAAACCCCGTCTCCTAGAATGTTCCCGTTACCTATTCTTTCCTTTTGCCTACGACGCACGCACGACTTTCTTTTTACGACCTGAAACATTTTATCGACCTTCAACATATCATCAGCTGGCTACAATGTTCTCTTTCAAAACTTCTGCTCTTGCTGCCCTAGCCGGCATTTCTCTTGCTGCCATTCCACCTGTTGTGCGCTCTGCTACGATTGACATTACCGTCGGAGGACCCAATGGAACCGTTGCCTATGCACCTGAATACGTCGTACGTTCTTAATCGATTCCAATATTATCAATAGTTTTTTTAGAATACCTGTCCTTTCAGAACGCAAGTATTGGCGACGTCGTTCGGTTCACGTTTGAACAAAAAAATCATACTGTCACTCAATCTTCATTTGCTTCCCCTTGCTCACCGCTAGCCAATGGATTTGATTCTGGATTGTGGGTAATGTTCTATCGCTTTTGATGCGCCGCTTGCTCAACTTGTTGCTCAGTGTCCCCGTTGCCGATAATGTTACTAGTGACTTTATCACCGCCGAACTTACCATTGAGAACACCGACGTAGGTCACTTCCTCGTTCTGTCATGATTCATGTAATCACCGACGTTTTGCAGCCTGTTTGGGTCTACTGCCGTCAAACTGGACATTGCGAGCAGGGAATGGTGTTTGCAGTGAATCCGGGCTCTGATGCCAAGTTCGCGGCTTTCAAGGCCGCTGCCATGGGCCTTAACTCGACCACCACTGCTTCCGCTTCGGTAGTCACAGTGACTGCCACTGTTACTGTTTCTGATGGCGACACTATCACCACGACCTATGGTTCCTATCCCGGCTCTTCCGCACCCACTTCCGCTATATCCACAGACCATCGAGTCATCGTTGGTGACAATGGCACACTCACTTACAACCCCGCCAACGTCACTGCCCAGATTGGAGACACCATTACCTTCGAGTTCCACCAGAAGAACCACACTGTCACTCAGAGTTCTTTCGCCGACGTTCGTTGCTATTTACCCTTACTTGTGTAACGTCGCTCATTTTGTGATGATCTAGCCTTGCACGCCTCTGTCTGCGAGCAGCCCTGGGACTGTGAGTTTTGACTCGGGATTCATGCCCGTCTCAACAAACGCTACCACCTTTCCTACCGTTACTATCCAAATCAACGACGTACGCCTCTTTGTCTTTTCTGTATCTCTTTCTTAGTCCTAACGCAACTGTTTAAAGACCAAACCCTTTTGGGCTTATTGCCGACAAACTACTCCAGTTTCCCACTGCGAATCTGGCATGGTTTTCAGCGTCAATGCTGTCGAGTCTAGTAACAGCTCCTTCGAGGCCTTTCAAGCTAAAGCCATCGCCCTTAACGCCACTTCCGCCTCTGGCTCCGCTTCGCTGTCTTCACCGTCAGCGACCTCAAGTAGCAACGGCGCATTGTCAATACACGGGATCTGCGGTGCTGGCATCGTGATCGTCGTCGTCAGTGCTATTGTCGCTGCTTTCCTATAGTTGCCTGGTTGAGACTTTTCTCTGTCGTCGGGGTTTTAGTGGAAATATGTATCATTACGAAGGACCTACTGTATCTTAGTACTGCTGCCGCTAATTTTCTTTCTCTTATATTTAGCCTCCTTTTTGTATTTCCTTCACTTCGGACTTGTATAGAGTTTTAAACAATATAATATTCCAAACTCGAAAGGTTGTCGAGCCCGCCTAGCTCAATCGGATAGAGCGTCAGACTCTTATTCGCAGGGCGATCTGAAGGCTGCGAGTTCGACCCTCGCGGTGGGCTATTATAGCATTGTAATCCCTTTTTTTGTTTTGAAACTGCCGTGTTTCGTTATTCCCACTCGTTCGTTAAGTATTCCCACTCGTTCGCACGCTCATTAGGCTGCTGTTGTGCGTTGTGCGTTGTGCGTTGGGAACAGGTTCGTTGATGAATCATTCTACATAAGTCAGGTGGCTCAGAGCCTTTAGGGCGCTTATTAACTCTGTATGCGTATTACCGCCCGCCCACCCTACTTTTGTTTTCCTAGTGACCGTGTTTATCTTGATCGCGGCGCTTCAGACTTGGCTTCACTTTGCGAATCTCATCTCTTAAGCACTGGACATGCGCAGGGCCAAACACAGGCAAACACTCTGAGTCCTGACACACTACTAAACTAAACTTGGGTTTCTCATCCCTTTTACTGACGAAGACTATAATATCTTATTGAAGATTCAGATGGCTTCCCTCGGAAGCATGATTGCGGTGGGTTCATGCCCTGCTGTTGTCCTTCACTCTATTTGCCTGTTGACCGTTACTCCAACAACACATGCATATCCGCCATTCTCCACCAGTTACTGCTTTCGCGATGTCCGTGGCTCGGAACGTTTCGCTAAATATAAAACGTACGAAATAGCCTTTCCTGCGCAAAACTAAAGCTCGTTCTCACCTTAGTACAGGCGTCCGTTGCTGTTCGTATATACCTTACCTTGTGATTTTTCACCACCACAATTTTTACAATTCCCCTCTGGTCAGTTGACCGCTACTGGTTGTCAAAGTCTCTTCCCGCTGCAGAAAACCATATGTAGCGACCTGTGTGCAACCCGTAAAATTGACCGAAATTTAGTACTGTGTAGCTGGGACTGAGTGGGATGGTAGATGGAAAATTGAATAAATGGTTCCCATTGTCAAGAGGTCGACTCTCAAGCCTTCCCCGCACGGATTTCCCTCTCTAGGATGTACTCTTTGCTGCTCATCTCCGCTGCACTTAGTTCTTGTGGCTTGACCGCCGCGATTCCTGCCGGTCTGCATCGCAGGGACGTCACTCAGTTGTCGGCCACAGAGCTCGCTGGTTTTGCTCCCTTCACCCAGTTTGCAAGGGCAGCGTACTGTGGCACGGATATCCTATCAGATTGGACTTGTGGTGGTACGTGCAACTTGGGCTATTTATGTCACTATGAGGTGTACTGAAGAAGCAATCTGGTAGAGGCTTGTGAAGCAAACTCGGATTTTGAAGTCTCCCTTGTTGGTGGAGATGGAGACGATATTCAGAACTGTAGGTGATTCTGCTTTCCCTTTGTCGCATACGACTCAGTGGGAATCGTTGCTGTTGCCAGATTTCGTTGGGTACGTATATGTTCGGGGCTGCGAGAGTTGAGTATCATTGACATGACACTTAGATATTCGCCTTCTTTAGAAGCCATCATCGTAGCTCACGAGGTACGCCTTTTTCAGACGTTATCTATGAATATTCTAATTCGCACATAGGGCACGGATCCTACACAACTGTAGGTTTTCCTTGTTTGCAGCTGTATGGCGGAAGGCTGAAATATCTATACAAGTGAATCCGACCTTACAGACATCGATGTTCCTTTAGCCACACTAAACAGCACTCTCTTCCCTGGAATTTCTTCTGACGTCGAAGTCCATACTGGTTTTCAAGACGAGCACGCATTGACTGCCGATGTCATCTTAGCGGAGGTCAAATCTCTTATGAGCTCCGTAGGCACCAACAATATCATTGCGGTTTGTATTTCCATACCGCACCCGTATCCTTTTGTAGAATGTCTTATAATACGCACAGGTTGGCCACTCTCTTGGCGGAGCACTCGCTGAAATCGATACCATATTCTTCCGCCTCAACCTTCCTTCCGCTGATATATCTGCCATGACCTACGGAACACCACGAGTGGGAAATCCTGCCTGGGCTGCGTTAGTTGATGCTTCGGACGTATGTTGTATCGGTCGCCCTGCTGACACTGCGTACAAATTAAAATCCTGATCTATCTGTGCTACATAGGTCAACTTCAAACGGATTGATAATATGCAAGGTATGTCCTACTAGTGTTGACCCTGATTCAATAGATCGTTGAAAGCCACATGAAATTCAGATTTGATCCCAATCGTTCCAGGGAGGTCATTGGGGTACGAACACCCAGCGGGAGAGATTCACATCCTCTCTGCTGGTGATGCAGTTTCTTGTCCTGGTGATGACGATGCCACTGATGCGGAGTGTCAAATTGTAAGTCGGTTTGCTTGGGTACCTAAAATGCGGGACTCTGATAATTCTCCAAAGGACTCTGTCCCGACTATATTTGAAGGGAACATCATAGATCATGTACGATACTCGCTCTTCAGACTGTATTCAATGCACTGACTGTTTATATAAGCTTGGACCATACGAGGGGATATATATTGGAACTATATTTTGTACCTAGACACAATCTCAAAACTCAGACCTTTGTCTTCCTCAAATAATGTAATATTAATATTGGGCTAAACTGCAATGCAACCCAGGTCATGGCTTCAGCATGCTAAGTTTGACTGAGTGGGTTACTACGCCAAATTCCTATGTACCATTCATCATCAAGCGAAGACCATCCCATCGAAAGTAAGAGACGCTATGGATACATGTAGCAATTTGAAGAGTTGCGGGTCACATTCAGTGCGGACCGCTTTTATCATCACGAAGATATCTTTCTAGTACTTATCCCCAGTCGAACTAATTTCGTGACATCGCCTTACATAACTATCATGGGTTCTCCCGGGGATTCTACAACCATCGCCGTCCCAAAAGTAGGTGTTGGGGTGTTCGTCCTTAACCAAGAGGGACAATTTCTACTGGGTAAACGAACGGGAAGCCATGGACATGGTATGCGATGTGACGATTCAGTCAATAGTGACATATAACAAACAATCTAGCGCAGGTACATGGGCACTCCCGGGAGGGCACCTGGAGGCTGGAGAATCATTCGAGGATTGTGCGGCTCGCGAGGTATCAGAGGAGACTAATCTCAAGATTCAAAATATTCGGTTCTTAACGGCGACAAACGATGTCATGGTTGCTGAAGGGAAACATTACGTGACGATATGGGTTGCTTGTGAGATGGTTGATGCTCAAGCTGCACCAGAGGTGAGCGGCCACAGATCCATGTCAAGCCGGCCTTTTTTTTTTTTGACGTGACACTGTAAGAATCTTGAGCCGGAAAAATGTGAGGAATGGGAATGGGTCACTTGGGTGAAAATAAAGCGATGGGCAAAGGCACATCAGCCTGAGGAAGGAAAAAGCACAGATACAGGACCCCGAACTTTATTTCTTCCGTTGCTAAATCTTATCGCGCAAAGGTCTCGTTTCGAAGGGCCGGGGCCCGGCTTCGGTCAATGAAAACAGATATGTATCTCGAAGAGAAGAGACGGAGAAGAGAATTGGTTGTGCGAGTGCAATGAGCGTCTGTTTCTTACAACAAAATTGAATGATGTTTCAAGAAGCAGTAGTACAATCAGTCAGAAGTGCTCCCGACGCAGCAATTCTAAAGGCACTCCAGACATTAGAGACCTTAAATCATGAGCCTGTCAATCACCACCAGGCTCCACTAGATACTTGCTCACCGAAAACTTGGACCGGAACACCTCGACAACGTGGGTTGTGAATTTCTCTTCATCCTCTTCCTGCGCAGGCCAGAGGGATACCCACAAAGTCGCATCAGTCATGAAGGTGAACGAGGGTCCCAGGGCAGGTTTTCGAATTGTCGATGCAAATACGGAACGAGGATTTGTGACCTCTGCAGTCGTCTGCGCTCTAGCCGTAGAAGGGGGTTGCATAAGCGTTGCGTTGTTTATGAGCTTGTACATCCATAAGTACAATTCAAAAAAGACGTGGGGCTGACGAACCAATATAATCACAGAGTAACGTTTAGCGAAGTCGCGAAGATAACGCATGAAGGCAGCCATGATGGCATGTCCTTGCGACGAGACAGCACTCAGATAGGGACCGAATAGAGATGTGACTGAGTCGATGACGATGTACTTCATTTGAATACTGGACGCTTGCTTAACGAAATATATGAGCTCGTGGAACCCAAAGTCAAAATAGGTGACTACGTACAAGTGCAAGTTGAAAATCTAGAGCGCGAATGATTTGCTGAACAGATTCCATGTCTGTTGCGAGAGAAATATGCAGCCTCTGTAGAAGGATTTCCATATTATCTAGAGACTACACGCAATTACTCCAGCGTTTGATGGAGGAAAAAATCGCCTCAACTTGTTGGTGATATTCCAGGATTTGGACAGCTCTTTCGATGGCAAAGTCACCGGTAGTATCAATCCACAGCCCTTCAATTTCCCTATTTCTGAGAAGAGACATCAAGACGCAATTGAGAAGCAGAATCTTGAATTCGAAAATACTAAGGCATATATTCTTCCCGTAGGGAAAGAAGAACACACCCTTTTTCCTGAACCATTATCGCCGGATATTTCAATTACACGAGCACAAGGTAGGCCTCCATCAAGGTAATTGTCCAAAGAAGTTAAGGTCTCCATCTTGAAGCACGGGTGACTTGGTTGATCTAGTTCGACAGCCTCCTGACCTGAGGTAGCTAGCTTTGTCAAGATGACCTTGATACATGCCTCGAATTCAGGGAAGGATATAGATTTTGAAGACAGGCGCGAGTAAATTTCAAGCGGAGTAGGACTTGAGAACATCAAATCAGTGCTTGTTAGTATTCCTAGAGAGGCCAGCTCTGTTACGAGATCATCAGGCAGTAGAGCGAAGGCTTTCAAGAGCATGATCGTTAAGGTATTAAGGTCATGAAAGCGCGCAATGTCACGCGTGATAACGCGACGTGACATCCTCTTTTCCCTCTCAACCATGTCCGACATTAGTCCTCGCGTCAATTCCGCAATTTTGCCCCGTTTCATCGGTCAAATGGTTCGAATCCCATGCAAAGTCCTTACAGTAAGCGGTGTCATTATTTGCTTACCTCAAAAGGCTGAAATAAATGATAGACGACGGATAGCACAGTGACAGT